AAATAAAGTATTGATGTTGTTAAAAAAAAAAGACATGCGCAGTAACAGTCTCACCTCTAACGGACTTTGAAAGTATAACCTTCGAGGTAAATCATTTTGTGGTGCTTTTGACACACTTTGGAATATTCTAGATCTGTTTACGTTTACGATCTGATTTATGTCACCCCAACTTGGAGTCATAAACTTGAAAACACTAGCCTAGTGTTTTCAAGTTTACTCGTGCATGCGTGCCATTGACAGTGTTCCTTTAAAGACACATAACATGTATGATATTCGATAGCATTCTTAAATTAGGACTTCTTGTTTTGGGCCTCCTGGGTATCCCATACTTTCTTGAATAATTGATACTTAGAACAACAGAATTAAATTCAATCCCGAGTCGGACTCTCTTTTACTCCCAGGGATGGGTGAATATTGAGCGCACAGCGGGATGGTCAAGAGATATGGAACTAGGGGAAAACAGACTTTGCAAAAGTCAAAATTCAATATTTCAGACAGTAAAAAAGTTCGGACTTACTAACTGATCCTGAGCCAATACTAGCATTAGCATCCATATCTAATGCATCAAACACGTCCATGTCAGTATTTCTCACTGTTATCACATTATTTCTTCCACCAAAATTGTCATTTGCTGTTGGCTTAAAAAAAACGTGTGTTATAACCAAACAACCACTAGTAAGCTACATGGGACAGAACGCTATTACTGCGCTCTAGCAGATGCGCTCTCTTATGGGCTGTTTTAATGCTTACTCAAAGCCTCCCACTCCCCCCCACAGTCAATGTTGGTTAACAATGTTGTTGGCGGGAATGTTTCCGTATGGAAGGAGGGTTTGTTTCGAGCCCAACATTGGAAATGGGGGGCCACGGGGGGAATTGTCTGTACTAAGTTATAGTAGATATATAGACATACACTTTGCCCCATGAATATTGTCCATGATTGTAGGTATTCAAACCATCTATTCATAAGTGCTACTTGCATGAAAACGGCATTATTTCAAAACTTCAAGCAATACAAATATATGACTCATTTATATTAAAAACAATTGTGGGAAAATATTTGTTTTGGAATTATCCCACTGTATCAGAGAAATTTTGATTCAAAAGATGGAAGAACAAAAGGATGGAGTAAGTGACGTCATCTACATGTACTCCACTGACCACTGCCATGGTCTGCCAGTATCTCATAATATGCTTGAGAATAAAAAGACATGGCGTAATATTCATCACCCATTTGAGATGAGATGAGATATAATGAATAGACTGATACATTGTATTGTATGGATGCAGAAGATTGCAAAATTTATATCTTCTGGTATAATTATGGGAAATTTATTAAGACATGCATTGAATGTGTTGACCACAGGTCATTATATCTTACTAGGTTTGGATCATGAATCCATTTCCCGTCCACACAGAATTTGTACTCRTGTTCTCCTTCAGGAAGTTCAATGATTGCTGTAAACTCATTGTGACTAAAAGAGAAAAAGGAAATTATATTCAGTGGAAAAAATATGATAAAGCAGCTAGAGCACAATAAAAACAAGACCTCTCTTTCTCGTCTAATAATTAATTACAGTCTTGCTATGCAAGTGGCCCACTGAGAGAAAATTAACAATCAAAATTTTAAAACAATCAATACAGGTTGGCACCAAAGCACTTTTTAAAATTGATTGGCAGCAGTCTATCAATTGCTAATTAGAGTATTCAAGTTTATTGCCAGGTAGACAACGAAAATAATATTATCTCAAAAACCTTTCTTCTACAAACTATTTCAATTTCCACAAATTTGGGCTGAGCCCAACTGTTTGGCAATATCAAGAATGTTTAGAAAACAGTCTTCAGAGTTTAATAAATTTCAAAAATACTTCAAATATGGATACATGTAGCCTCCTTTGCAGGCTACTCTTATAAGGAAACAGAATCATTTTCTTTCTCCTTGGTCTTCCTTGTTGATTTATCCTGACCGAGACAAACTTGTGCACTAATTTTCTGCCTAAAAACACAGGAATCCCGCAGAATAGAGTTGCCTGCGAACATGTAGTCTTCAGTAGATTTCAATGAAACAGTTATATAAATTTAACACCGTAAAAAAAAGTTGGTGAAATAACTTACTGACATTTCGGATGTTGATCCTTTATTGGAGTAAAAGAGATGAAACTAGGTAAAACCCTTGCTTTAATTGTTCATTTCTTGTTACCATGCTTTGCTCCTATTGGTCTACTTTCTGTAGTACTCTTAATATATAAACTCACACTTTACCTAGTTCCATCTCTTTACTTTGATGAAGAATTAACGTTCGAAACATCAGTAAGTTATTTCTATCACTTACTTTTTTTTTACACAAACTGTTTCGTTAGAAACACTGAGATGCAGCTCACACTAGTTTACCGCTAGTTCCCACCATGATGTCTTTCATGAACAATTGCAGCTGCCTTACATTGCTTATATCATACCTGTACGTCATTGGTATCCTRGTCTTCCATTCATTAAAACTGCCTGATAATAAGATATTCTGTCCTCCGTTGACCCAYTGGAACACGGTTGGAATTGTCATCTTCTTGGGTGGTTCTGCTTCTATGTCTTCATCCAGGTCAAAATCAAAGTCAGATGGTTCTTCCTTTACAATCAGATTAGCTGCAAATTAAAAGAAACTTGCTAAATTCTGTTTGATGGTTCTGATTTGATATCCATTTACATGTAACAACTGTTGCATCAGAGACAATTCATTATGTAATTAACAAATAAACCCATTAAATGTTTGTACATGATTGACAGTATACTCTATTTAAGAAATATAAAATGGTGCACGTGTCTCTGTCCTATGATATAAACACGGTGGGAGTTGAAAAACACGAGAGAACCAAGCTCTTGCTTCTTGAGTGCTTTTCAACTCCCACCTTGTTTATATCAGAGGCCGTTTTCAAGCGAAAAAACAAATTTTGCCTGTAAGTCGTGTCTCTGTCCTCTGATATAAACATGGTCATCTGCCAATCAGAGCGCGTGTTATATCTGATGGTCATCTGCCAATCAGAGCGCGTGTTATATCTGAAAAACTTTATAAATCATCTTATAAACCATACCTTCACGAGCCATCTTTGCCTCCTGCTCGCTGGGGAATGTTTTCTTTCCAGTTTCAAACTCAAGTGTAGAGCTTGATTCAGACTTGCCATCTTTAAGTTTACTGCCTTGTGTGTTTCCCATATTGACRCTGGTATTTCAAGTACACAAAATGAGTATATCAGCATGCTGTAATTTACAGGTGGTGGTTCATCATCATTTATCGTAATTAAATTACGATAAATGATTTATTATTAGATAATTATTAATATAGACTTTTCTGAAATACAAAATCATAGTGCATTGTGGTCTAGCTTCAGCACAAACAACACCATATTTGGCAGAATGGACAAAAGATGTTTGTGCTACATCTAGACCACAATGCAATGCAACCGCTACTCAGAAAAGGCTTATAGTGACAAACAACTCRTTATCAGACAGTTGTCAGATATAAATCAAGTTAGTGATGACTTTTCCAACTCAATTTGTCCATCCAACTTAAAAGGCAGCCAAATCATTGGATATCAGGACGAGTACCTCATCAGCAACGAAATTCACTAGTTGGATTTTTATTCATACTATTTTGTTYTGTACCAAAACAGAMTTCAGGAATTTATGTAGTTTTTATTTTAGGTTTGCGCCATAAAGAGACATTGAAATGTCCTGGTTTTTGCAAGTCAGAAATCCGTCCATGACAAGTTTTCCAGCAACAAGTCTTACTAAAGTGTGAAACCTCCCATTATGACAAGGCCAAAAATTATCCATAATGTGACCAATTTTAAAGAATTAAATTAAGCTTACTATCATAAAAGGTGCTTGCACGAAAACCAAAAAAACTCTGAACTCTTTTTTAAAACAAACCAAGGAAAATCACAGCACTCATTGTWATGATTTTGGTTAATTGCAAGCGTCAGACATTTTTGTAACGCAGGATATAATGTACAGCCCTTGAATATTACAAATATGTGCAAAATTAAACCGAAAGGCCAGTGCAAAACAAACTTTGCCTTGCATGCACAAAGCGACGCTTTGAAAGTGTTTACTACTAAGTTATGCTATTACTTTGTACAAACTAAACAAATTTGTATTCATCGAGAAGTGAAATAATATAAACTTACGTTTTCTAAACAGATTAATCGTTAAAAAGCAGGAAAACAAGGTGTTGTCTTGATTAAGTCACTGAAGTGCCACAAAACCTAGCCGCCATCTTGCCAACAAGAAAACACGCAACATACAAACACAGGAAGCCCGGTCAGACAGTAAGCAACATTATCAGGAAGAGGTTGAAATCCAGGGGTGGGGGGCCATAGGATAAGCAGTTTGACTTGAAAGAGGGGGCAACGTCCAAGTTAATAAACGAAAGATAGATTTGCACATAGGTCGCCGAAAAAATCTTGCACATCAAAAGTTTCTGAAAAAAATTTTAGGAATGAGAATCACTCCTTTCAACTGAGATTGCACGCTTGATGATGGTGTCTAATCAGCCAATCAGCTCCCGAGAATTCACACAAAAACTAGATATGTTTTAAAATGTATAGTATTTGCGGGGTGATCATGATTTTCTCTGTCCTATTCCAAGGATCGAGGGACACTTCTTTCCTAGTTTCCTAGGGATCTTCCGTAAAATATCGGCTTTTAAAAACTAGTTTATTACCTCCCGTAAGTATGATATGCTAAGTGAACGACGAACAAAACGTCTAATGAAAACTTCACAGACAAATTAAAAAAAGAGCAAGAAAAATTAAAAAAGAGAGGGAATTAAAAAAAATCAAAGAAAAGGAAGGAAGAAAGCAAGAAAGCGATAGAAGGATGAAGTCCATAATTCCCAATGACCAATGTATCCCGTGATAGGCCCGTAATGAACAGAAGGCCGTGACTTACTGAAAAAAGATTTGCTCAACATTCTCCAGACGGTTTGAATTGTTTTAGCTTGATTAAGAAGGATATCGCATTTCAAGTCTTTGATATTGTAGCAAATTCCTGGCCTTCTATCAATTGGCGGCAAAAATATTGCACGATAAAAGACCGAACTATTTGACTATTCGCTTGAATACCTTTCCTCTTCGCCACAAGACCTATAGATAGGACTGAAACGTCAGAGAGAAAAAATCTTTGGTATGAAATGTCATGACACGGTAATTGTACAAAATTAGTGTATCGTGTCCATGAGACGACGCATCGAAATAATTTGTACCAACCTTAGGCGTACACGACCTGTAAGTCGAAAGGAAACCTGGTCCAACTACTGATTGTATGACTTAAATGCTCTATTTCTCACGCCACAATTAGAAATAGTATTTTTTGGATAATTGTCAAAGTTCACGCATTTTGATAAAGTTGAAAATAACAGCGATTTTGATCGAGTGACGTCAGTGGCSCGTATCCGATAGTCGTTACGTRGTAATACAATCATCCCCACCTACCCKTACACAATTGCGGTTTTAGTACATTCCAGCGTGAATCTCAACCAATCAGAGCACAGTATTAGTGATATGTTGTTATGCATTCGAGCCGAAGCCACTGCACTGTTGAAGAGTCTTAAAATGGCGGTTCGAAAACTTGAAATAGGACCAACCAAATAACCCTCAAATTCACAAAAATAGTCCTCAAAATCATCGATGAATGTTATGAAGTTTTATTAGTTTTAAAGMAGAGTTTTTTTGAAGGTAATCTGTGAAGACATGGGCGAAATGAGGACTCGGGCAGAAGAACTACAAGAACTCAAAAGGATGATAGCCGAGTGGAACGCTAGTCGTTTGGATATGTTCGCTATTAGTGAACCGAACGAGGTAATGATAAACTACTGCTTGATAAAACTTTCTAATTTTTGATTGCGGGGCTTTAAATTAAAGTTAGAGTACAGGCTGGATAGTTTGCGGTTACGCTCAATCATGTGTCTCGCTTGTAGGATCTCGAGTATCGAGGAGCGATGAGGTTTTATTTCCAAGATTCTGGCTCAAAAGTAGCTACCAAATGTGTACGATTTACAAGCATGGATAACACTGAAGATGTTACTAAAGTTTTAGTGGAAAAATTTCATCCTGATATGAAAATGCTTTCAAATCCGTCATATTCGCTGTACGAAGTTCACCAAAATAAAGGTAAGATMTACAGAGTCCTCTTTGCATTTAAAAATAAGCGCTTTTGCCAACTATACTTCTTGAATTGCTCTCACTGATTTTCTAGGTATGTGTTAGAATACTTTCTTTTCGTACGAAGTAAGATAAAAAAAGTTTTACAGTTAAAATTATATTTACCAAACATAAATATAGGAATCAATTTAAGTTCAAATAGGAAATCCTTTTGGATCTTTTACTGCCGAATTATAAATTCTAAAATGAACGGATTTCAAATGTATRAATTTTATTGTTAGGTTAACCTCAGATATCGATCYCCTTTTGGTATTGTTGCTCAATAAATCGTCAACTCTTGCACTATTTTCTAACCTTTTTCTAKCTTTGGGGATTAAAACTCGATATGCTCTCTCTCTTATAAGGTAATTTATATCACCAAAACCAAGCTAATGAAAAGAAATTCACAATGTGTTTGAAACGTTTCGATTCTTTGTTGAGTTTATGTGCTCAATTTACTGTTTGTGGTTATTTTATTGCATATTTAACCTCGTTATCCGAGGCCGATATTTCTAAAGGCATTTAATGAAACTTTATAGTGATAAAGTAGATAAATTGTTCAAGGAAAGAGGTTTTCTCTGAATCGTTTTGATACGCGGAAGCCTGTTCAATGCTAGCTAGGTCATTCAAACTGTTCCAGTTATTCAAGGATCAGGTTTCACGTAAACATCGTRTATTCGCTMGAAATTTTCCATGATTCACTGATACATTCTTAGTGTCCCCTGCTAAGATTTCGAAGTGCATTTATTATTGTAAGCTGGTTTCTTACAGAGTGCATTGTTTTCGTATTTTTAGCTGCTATTCAAGTAAAGTTAATTGATTTTAACTTAGAGTGAAGTTGTGTCTGAAACTGGATGATGTTACTTGATAAAATATAATATTTTGCCACAAAAAAATTTCCATGTACATGTAATCTAGTGTCTGATAGATGTCATTTTGGTTGATATCARGTCTTCAWMKAAGAGAATTTTTATCCGTGATAATCGTGACAAAAATATTGAATTGAAACTGTTTCAGCAATTTGTGAATATTCATCAAAAGATTTCAATTATAATAAATTAATACACTTGTTTTACTACAATCGTCTTGACCAATGGTCACAATCAATTTAATTTATAGACTAAAACTCGTTGTTATTGTATGTTTTRATTTGACTGATCTTTTTGGATATTATAAGCATTGATCTGAAGCTCACAGTATTTCAAACCATGAATATCTCCTTGGAAACTTGTATAACTTTAGCACATATTATGCAGTATAAGTACCCTTTCAACAAGTAATTTTTAAATATTAAAACAAGTTTTTTCATTTTCGAATTGAATTCAAATGCAGTTTCAACTATCCTGAGCTGAAACGCTAATAAAATTGCTTTACAGTATCAATAGTGCCCTCAGCCACTTTTAGCATCATAATAGGATGCATTGTATTCCTGCTTCAAAAGGTGCCGTGCTAGTATTTTTCTTGTGGCAATGTATTGTAAAGTTTATTCAAACAGAGTGTCTAAGACAAAATTTAATATCAGTCGCAAAATAGTCACGTTGGATTTCAAATATTTTATTGAGCACAAAAAATGCAGGTTCCATAATTGTGATTAGGATCCAGCAACGTGGAAGAATTGGTTGTAAAATCTGAAACAATGTTTTTCAATTTTGGAGTTGCAACAATGTTACAAATCTTGCACTTTCATTTGATGCTGTAAGACTGAGAATCTTTGATTGAACACTTTAATTTCCATTTGTAACTAATTCAAMTTTTGGTCTTCCTAACTTCATTTTATTACTGGTAAAAACAGACTGTAAAATGAAGATGCAGGCTTATTTGCAATGCCGACATAAATACATCATTACACTAAATTGAATTAAGTAATGTTTACAACATGAGTGGCCGTGTTGTATTACTTTATACAATATCATGCATTAGACTTCTATTTGAATGCAGAATATACCAGAGTTCTTGTAGTGAAAATTGTTTTAGATCATTGTTTGTCTAGGCAAATTTTCGTGTACCATGATAGAGGCTGACCTGCAGCCAACAAGAAAACTGCAAATAATTATTTAGAAATTCTGTACAATGAATGCAGGGACTGATTGACTGTGAAAGGTGGATTATAAATGTTATTCCCTGGTTAAAGTTATTCCACTAGATTTTATATAAGATTTATCAGGTGCATGATGTTACATGTATAATTTCACTGGTGATTTTTGCTAGTCAATTCTATATTGACAAGTGTTCACTGTTTTCATAACATTTATTCTGAAATAGGAGCAATCATATGTTTCATTGACAGCTTACAGCGAAATCAACCRAAATAATTATTAATTGAAATTGGATATTACAGTGCAATGTATTTATTTTGAACCATTATTTGTAAAAATTTATTTCAGAGTCAAGAAAATTGAGACCCAATGAATATCCATTACGAATACAACTTGAGTGGCAAAATAATGACAGAGAAGGACGCTTTCTGCTTGTCAGTGACACAGACAAAATTGCTCATTCAAGTATCTTTGAAACAAGCAAAAATGATAAAACAGTAGAGAATGTGAACCTTAAGCGCAGTCTCTCAAGACGAGAAAAAAAGCAACTCAAGAAGAAAAGAGAAGAAGAAGCAAAAAAAGCTGCAGAAAGTAAAAAGGCTGGCAAAGATGACATAGCTGCACATCTTTATGATGARCTCCCTGAAACAAGCTTTACTCGTAGTATATCTAATCCAGAGGCAGTCATGAGACGAAGAAGACAACAAAAAATTGAAAAACGATTGAAGGATTTCCAAAGCAAAGATGCTGCTGCTGGAGGGACATTAAAAATATTTGCTACAACACTAAAACCTGAAATCCCATACAAAACCCTGCTGGTGTCAGTAGATGATAAYACAACTCATGTCATCAAAGAAGCTTTGATTAAATACCAGATGGAGGCAGAGAATCCAGAAGATTATTGCTTGATAATGGTGAATATTCCCCCTGAAGGTCACAATACTAGTGCGACACTTGGCAAAGAAAGGGTTGTGCATGATGAAGACTGCCCACTCAAGATAGCAGTCACTTGGCCCCCCAGTAGAGGGACTGTTGTTTTTCATTTACGAAGACGTGCAAACCTGCCACAACATAGACAGGAAAGAAGGAGGTCAAAATCTCCTGCAAGGAAGCCTGTGGATAGGTCGCCTGAGAAGATTGGAAGTGACCCTGTCAAGCAACCATCAATTCCTGAGCATCTTCTGCCATACCTGCAAGAATTGTCATCTGATGGCATGGACCCTAGCTATAAGCCCCGAGTACATCGTCTACAGATGAATGTCACTGAAGTTGGAAGCGAGAAGTCAATGTCTGCTGGAGGGAATTACCTAGTGCTTCATGCACCACATATTTTGCAACGACACTGTGTTATTACAAACATGGATGGGCGTGTGTCTGTAACCCCTAGTAGTGGTGATGCTGAGGTGTCAGTCAATGGCAAGAGATTTTATGAGACGACTACCTTAATGCATAACGATGTCATTAAGATAGGACGTGCACACACTTTCAGGTTTTGTGATCCTGCATTTGAGAAGCCGTCTCGCCATAGTGCTCCAGTAGGTTACTATGACGATGGGAGTATTAGTAGCAGTAGTGACATGGAAGCACCAAGACGAACAAGGTAGGTCTGCAGAAACTTTCTCAATCCTGACTTTACTTTGTACTTCCAATAGACGATTATCGCACTTAAATACTTTTAGAATACTGTACTCATCTGATAAAAAAGAAATTGAGAATTGAACTTAGGTAGATAGACACTTTTTTTTTTTTCAATCAAAAAAATTGTTTTTCACTTGAGGAACCTTGAGAAAAATAAAGTACAGGGGGGTCATAACACCATCTCCATCTTACACCTAGTRTGGTAATAAACCCCTTTTTGTCTCGTAGACCAAGTTCACTTGGAGCTCCTCTACAATCCCCTTCTTATAACAACCATCACCCTAGCAACGACTATCCTAGTAGCCATGACGACATAGATCAAGATTCAAATGAACAGAATCCTGGGATGTTTGAAACGACCTTCGATGTAACTGGGGAAGTTACTACATACACTGGTCGCACCAGAGAACCTGTAAGTACATGCAGTCCTAGTTTCAATGCCATGGTAACAAACTCGAGTTATTAAGGGGATGTGGTAACCATGGTTGCATGCCATTGGTTGCTACTACTAATTAATGGTTATGATAGTAGTGGTAATTGTATGTATAATAATGCTCATCCATGTCTTATTATAAGGAACCACCACCAAGATCACCACCCCCAAGAACACCCACTCAGACGTCGTTTGCACACGAAGATCTTTTTGATGACAAGCTGCCAGCCACCTTAGAGTTCCTAGAGACAGGAGAGGATGCGTTCTTTGCTGCAGTTGTCAGTGAAGTCAATGGTCAAGCAGTGCATTTCAAATTGGCTCCTACCTACACTTTGTACATGTGTTCTCGCTTTCGCATGTCACCTGCTTACAGACCGGAACTGAACGACCATCAACGAGGAGAGAGACTGGGCGTGACATTGCTAAAGATAGCAAACATGGCACGATCTACGATCAGGGTTCGTAATATTATTAGTGCAGCATGCACGTAAACATCCTAGCAAGTATAAGTATCTTTGGTGGACGTGCAATAAAAAAGTTAACAATAAACGTAACCTCAAAGTCTGTACGTTCAAGGCAATGATTGTGTCCAGAGAGCTCAGCTTCGATCGAGAAAGTTATCGTATGTTTGATGCTGGGTTAGAGGGCGGAGGTAGTGTCAAGCAAATATTCAATATTTGCGCAGATATGACAATAATTATTGTCTGTCCCCAATCGTAGAGTTTTCTTTGTGATAATATTAATTGTATACGGACTAACAAACCCTTGTAAGCGTTTAGCCAAAACGAAAGTGGAATCAAGATTTTGTTCGAATGCTCTTGTAATTCTTCATTTTTCCTTGCAGGACAATAACAAATACCCTGGCAGTCTTGCGTTTTGGATGGCAAACTGTTCRGAGCTTCTGCATTTCATCAAACAAGACCGAGATATTAGTCCTTATACCAAGGAAGGACAGCCCCATGGACAGCAAGTCCTGGCCCAGTCAGTRCATCAGGCATTCAGAGATTTCGTCCGCTGTGCTCAAAATGAACTTAGAACTGTAATGTCAGCCTTTATCGATCCTACCGACGGTGCTGACATGGAAGATAGCGACCTTGATTCGTTACATGAGAAGGACACGGATAACTTACCTGAACATTCCGATGGTAGAAGCTACCATGTGTACGGTCCAGATGGTACGCTATCAGGGAAYGACAGTTGGTTTGGTAAGTGTCTAGAGCTATCTACTTGTCTGCCAGTACGAGTTGCTTTGTTTTGATGAAAATGAATACAGTAAATAAATAAATACCTTCTTTCAATATTGTCTCTATCGCTGTAGCCAGACAAAAATTGGCGGGACTCAAGCACACAGGACTAGGGTCAACATTGACTGTTTAAGCATACAACACTCCATTTTTCGAATTCAAAGCGAAAGCCGTCGCTTTATTTGACAACATATTCTCTTGGGCCAAGACCTTACCGAAAGCAAAAGGACGAGAAACTGTCGTCATTGCAATACCCTTGAAAATTTGCATTTGCCCCGAATTGAGACTAAACCTGTATTCCCATAAGACCTTTGGGAATACAGGGTTATAGCCTCAAATCGGCGAAAATGTAAATTGTTAGCGCTATTGTACTTCCAACATTTTCTCGTGCTTTCTTTTGTATTTGGTAAGGTCTTATTCGCATTGAATTCGAAAATCGAGTATAGACTTCCAATACTTTATTTTTTTCTTTTTACCATGTTCTACGCCACAGTAAATAGTGTATACTGGCTGAAATATTCTGACTAAATTGTTTTGTATCAGGTGGTCGACGAAGTCAAGGTCGTGCCACGGTATCCGAGGTCATCTATAACCTATCATCCACCATGTCGTTACTYCGTCGTTGTCGAGTTAACGCAGCGTTGACTATACAGGTCTTCTCCCAGCTCTTTCACTTCATCAACACTTGGTTGTTCAACAAATTGGTTCTGGAGCCGAAGCTTGGCTTATGCACGAAGGACTGGGGCCGACGGATTAGTAAGAGACTTGCGCGCGTAGAGAAATGGGCMGAGAAACAAGGACTTGAACTGGCAGCGGATTGTCATTTATGCAGAATTGCACAGGTTAGTGTCATTGGCTTCTTTTTTGTCACTGTCGGTGTTATCACATGTTCGCATGACTTCCATTGTTTTCTTCCATTTGTTCTTTCTTCCTTACTTCTTTTCTTGCTTACTTGCAGTTTAAAATTWTACCAATAGGCGATTYTCGCGACAGTCAAGACGGAATGCTTTGCCATTATCTTTCATAAAGTAATTAGTGCCAATTCTTTTACGAATACGCAAAATCATTTAAAATCTTAATAAGAATGAAAATATGCAAAGCATTGTGATTTTGGTAGTAAAACGAATCAAATTCGAACAACGTGACTGTATACATCGTCCTGGTAGGTTATGATTTTTGTTACGAAAAGATAATATAGATAACAAAATTGATATGAATTTGAATGATAAATGAGCCAAGCGTTTTTCGTAGTGTWTATAAATTTGTTTCYCAGMCTTTCTTTCCTCTTTTCAATCTTTTCATCCTTTCATCTTGCCWCTCAAACTCGCTATCTTTTCAAATTCTTYCTAATCCGTTCTTSTCAACCACTTCTACCGCAGGCTGCGCATCTCCTTCAAGCTCCCAAGAACTCCTCGTCTGACGTCAACGCCATTTCATCGTCGTGTTTCAAACTTAATTCTCAACAAGTACGAACACTTTTGGAAAACTACCGACCAGGCCCCGACGAATATATACCACAGGTAACCCAGGGTTCTATTTGTTTGGAAACAAGAGCCCATATGAAGTTCAAAATCTGATTCAGGGATGGGCCAATACAGATACCTCRTTGGCTGCTTCTAAACCTGTTAAAACTGTTTTTGTTTTTTGTTTTTTTATGGCAGGATTTGGTAGAAGCCATGGTATTGACTGCTGAGGAGAACGCCGATGAGGTTGCGCGTAGCAACGGGCAAGAGATCCAGTTGGAGGAAGACTGGGAGCTACAGTTACCATTCCTCCTCCCTGAAGATGGTTACTCGTGTGAAGTGATTCGGGGGGTGCCTCCTGGTCTCAAGGGTTTTCTCGAACCGCTGGCAAAGACTGGGCTTTGTAAGCTTACTTTACAACCGGAGACYTCTGGGCTGTGGACAGTTTACTTGAAGAAATATGAGAAATTAAGTAAGTCTTTTTGAGTAGAAAARGACAATAGGAATTATAGCACATTACTGATTCAAATACTCTGTGGTAAAGCGTCGTATCATGTTGTATAAGCGCTAGTATCACTCGGTCGGTTTGTTCAGAGCCCGATTTACGTTAATCCAGGATTACCTCCATAGATTTTCTAAGAGTTAACCCAGGATTAGCGCTGATCGGACTTTGAATAACCCGGCCCAGTTGTCTACAGAGTATTGGATTGAAATTATATCAAGAGATTAGGGTTTTTTTAGTGGTAAACCTTATGCGACATATTCTAATAATTGTTCTAGTAAAAACATTTTTATTTACCTTTATTTCCGATGTAAATATAGGTGTGGATATATCAAATGCTCCCCAGACTCACGAAATTGAAGAAATTGCCTTCAACAAAGGCCGTGGTGGCATGGGCCTTAGCATTGTCGCTGCAAAGGTAATTCAATCATGGGAGAATCTACGTAGCAGTCTCAGTTGATGTAATATATTCATAAAGATATAATACAAAACACATAATACAATAGAACGAGAAACAGTGGAATACAATACATTTTATGAATACATTACATCAACTGCGTGCTACATAGGTCACCCCTTCAATCATTGTGCTTATCTGTTTATCACCCATCATTCATCTTTGGTATTTGCATCCACACAGGGAACCCGTCAAAAGGAACTTGGTATATACATCAAACAAGTTGTWAAAGATGGGCCAGCATCAAAGGTAGGTTGTTTTGCTAATATTATGTTGGACTAATCCAAACTCACAAATCAAAAAGAAGAAACGTCATTGTATAATTGTCGATCATTAATTGGCCTTTTGCATGAAACGGTCGCGTGGTACTAAAGCCGCAATTCTGGATGACAAAATACTCACTGCGATGTTCAAAACAAGGAATAGTCAAGCTTGACGGGCTGCGTTCCTTTGTTTTTCATGTTGTTTATATTCGTTTGTCATCCAGTATGGCGGATTTATTACCATGTGACCGCGGGTGTTGCCTCTACACCAACTTTTTACATCTGCCCATATTTCTTTTGATTTTTCACGGTTTATTTTTTATAGGATGGAAGACTGAAAGCCGGTGACCAGATCTTGTCTGTTAATGGTGAAAGCCTTATTGATGTAACACAAGAAAGGTATCTATTGATTGTTCGTTCTTTTGTTCGTTGTGTTTTATCCCTCATGAATATATTTATTTCAGAGATGTTGTTAACTCTCCTACGTTTTCTGTACATGTGTTGTTGTTTTGTTCGTTTTTGAATTTGTTTCTTTGTTTTATGGTGAGGTTTTTTATTGCTTTTTTTTCCGTGTTSTTTGTGGAAAGTCATATGTATTGTTTACAATTTCACTTGGCTGTTTATATGTGGTAGTACACTACTGTAGTTCAGCTCCTGGATGACCTATAGATCAATTGACTGACTTGAATGATGCGACCATTGTTACAGTCAAAAGACATGAAGCGCACCCCCTGAAGACTTAATTGTTCAATTCATTATTGGATTTTTCATTTTAGTTTAGTTTTCATTTTCRAACTTCAGTTGATTTATGCAAAATTAAATTCTGATTGGATTATGGGTTACACAGGAAACCCGAGCGACTAAACGTCCGGGCCGGGTTGTTCAAAGCCTGATTAGCGTTAACTCCATAAGTTTTTTCTTGTTAAAACGAAATTACACGTGATTTACGAATATCAACGAGCTCCATTGAGAAAATAACACGGCATTTCCCGGTTTTTGAGTCCCAAGGAGGAACAGATCCAACCAAAGTACATGTAGCAGGCAACATATTGCAATGCATCGAGTTGTGAAAATTACGACAAAAGCCCAGCATGTCTGACAACGAAATACGAATAAGTCTTTATGGAAATCAATTCAATAATCCAATCAAATTTCGAAGTTTGAATTCAAATTTGATTTCATTAATGTAATGTTGAATCAACCAAGAATCGAATATTGAATTGATAAATGGTGTTTTTTTGGGGAGGCGCGCTTCATGTCTTTTGACTGTAGGAATGCGATCACATTTTATATGAATTTTTGTGACATGTTTTATCTTTTATTAATAATCTGTGTGGTTCTCGTTCAATAAGGGCTGCTGAGGTAATGGTGAAATCAGGACCCAACGTGTCGCTACGGATTTTGAAGCAAGGCGCAATTTACCACGGTCTGGCGACACTACTGATACAAAGCCCTACAAAAGGTATGTAGCGATTTATTTGTAGGCCTACACTCTGGGACATAAATATTGACAATTTTTACGCGAGCGCGCCGCATTTCTCACACTATTCGTCGATAAAACCTTCCCCCYAATACAATGTTGTGTGGCTTTCTTTTCATTGGTTGTCCATTCATTAACCCCTGMATGCAACATTGATGCGGGAGGGGAGGGAGGGAAGGGGAATATTTTCAGTCGATTAACATGATACAGTATTTGTAATGCCTAAACGAAAAATTGTCAAGTATTTATGTCCAAGATTCTAGCTTTCTACTCACCGTGCATATACCTATTTCAAAGCTTGTCGGATAAAATGGCGAATGTCAATTGTCGAACGGCGATTGCACGACAGAGAGTAGCCATGGATTTTGCTAGTTGAAAGGCAATAACAACTGATTTGTACTGTACGATGGTCTGTGGAAAACATTGGCTCCATTTAGTCACCATTTCTATGTAAGGTGAATCCAATAAGTGAAATTTTTGTTTATCAAAACAGTGTAACCATAGTTCCTTTCGGTCGTGCATTCTCCGTTTGACAATCGCCGTTCGCCGTTCTCCCAGACAATGTTTTTTGAAATAGGTATGTATACAAGGGATGATTGCACGGATGGATAAACTTTATATGAATTTTTATCTGCTGAAAAAGGATTTATGTACATTAGACACATTAGTTGTAATCGAGATTGCAATATCTTTCTTGTTGTTGTTGTTATTTTCTCTCTTTTGTTCTTCTGTTGATTCTGCCTTATGTTTTTGTTATTGAAKTGGCTTTTTTTTCTATTCCTCCATTTTCCTTTAGTTTTTGCCTTGTATTGACCTTGCTACCCTCGTTCTTTTTCTTGTCGTTTTTTGTTGTCATTTTCTACCACTATCYATCTACCATTTGTTCATACATTATTTATCCATTCAGGTAATAGTCGAGTTTCGCGATCTCTTTTACGCTGTGTTAGCCTCAATTGTGTGCTAAAATATTCAGAAATGTAGATAAAACTCGAGATTTCAATCTATTTCCATTGTCGGGCTGTTGTGAATAAAAGAATTTATTACATGGTTTTGAGGCTAACACAGCGTAAAAGAGATCGCTAAAAGGGTTTATTACCCGTCCGCATTTCGTGTTGAGCGTCAGAAAATTTAAGGATTATTTTCTTGCCTTTAGAATCACCACAAAGGTTAACACCTCTAGAACCAGAACATGATCTTCCCCAGTCCTCACCGACCCTGCCAGATTCTAACGTCCCTGGCTATCTCCCTCGCCATAACAGCACATCGATGCAGGAAGAAAGGTTTATCGATGATAGAAGGCGATYTGAAGCTGAGGAGAGGTTGAAAGAGGAGCAAAGGCTTATGGACGAAGTAGAACAACGAAGAAGGGAAGAAGAAGAGAGGCTTCTAGAAGAGCAAGAGCTGAGAGATCGGGAAAGGATAAGAGAAGAGGAGAGATTGATKGACGAAAAGATGAGAAAAGAAGAAGAAGACAAACGTCTGCGAGACGAAGAAATGAGAAGAGAAGAAGAACGGAGASTAGAAGAAGAACGTACCAGACAAGAAGAAGAAAATCGACTCTACGAGGAACGTCGTAGACTGGAAGAAGAAGAAGAAAGAGCTCGAGAGGAGGAGGAAAGACTGCTAGAAGAACAGCGTTCGCGTGAGGCGGAACGACAACGACAGATTAAACTTGAAGAAGAACGACGGCGCAGAGAGGCCGAAGAAGATGAGAAGTTCCGTATACAAGAAGATCGAATTCGTAAGAGAATGGAAGAGGAAAGACGAATCATCGAGGAGGAAAGGAGAAAACTAGCAGAAGAAAGGCGGCTGCTAGAGGAAGAACGGAAGAAGGAAGAGGAACGAAAACGCGCTGAACAGCAGAGAATACAGGATGAACAACGTCGACTAGAAGAAGAGAAGAAGAGAATTGAAGAAGAGAAAAGGCGGCAGATGATATCTTTAGAGGAACGGCGCAGAGCAGAGGAAGAGCGAAGGCGGCTGCAAGAGGAGGAAGAAGAAGAGGAAGCACAGATCATTGCTGAAGAACAGCGTCGACGTCAAGAACTTCTCAGGCGTGAAGAATTCCGAAGACGTGAAGATCAACGAAGAATTGCTGAGGAGCGAAAACGAGCCGAAGAGGAAGAACGACGTTTGGCGAACGAACCTCAGAAGCCACGGTCTCGTAGGATTCGTTTCGAAGATGAAGTTATGCCAAAAGTGCAAACGGTGGAGCAGCAGACACCTCAGTTCAATTTTCAACCTGAAACTACTGAAAAGAAAACCGAGGTTGTTGAAGAGGAGCCTGTAGTTGTCCGAGGGAGACTTACAGAGGCTGATATATCGAACATGAATTCGGTGTTTGAAAGACTTGGGGAAGAAGTAAGTAAATCATGTATTTTAATTTTTCATGGATTTGCTACTTACTTTAATGCAATGTCCTTTTCCTATTTCTTTTCCTATTTTACATGACAATASATTCTGTTGTTTAGGGAAAGGGAATGTCGTTAAGTATACTTGCTGACTTTTAATTTCTGCTGTAGCAACCCAAAGACGAGCCTCCTCGYAGCCCTATCAGAGTTGATACAAGAAATACTCGTTATGGTCGAGCGATTGTCATCACCCAGGGAATGATCCAAACTCCTCAGTCTCCTTCATCACCGAGTCAACCATCGAAGCCTGTCTACGATTTCGAACAACAGAMGCAAAAGCAGCCAGAAGAAAAGAAAGAAACTGACTTTGAGCGTTGGCAAAGACAGCAACGTGAACTTGCGGAACGTCGAGAACAGCAACTACTAGAAGAACAACAACGCGATGAACGAGAAAGGCGTGAGCTAGAAGACCGTGACAGATTACAACGAGAGGAATTGGACCGGCAAGGATTGGAACGTGAACGTCAACAACGCGAGCAACTTGAACGTCAAGAACGCGAAGAACGTGTGGAACGTGAGCGTCGTCAGCGCGAGGAACGTGAACGTCAGGAACGAGAGGATCGCGAACGTCAAGAACGAGAGGAACGTGAACGTATTGAGCGCGAACGYCAGGAGGAGGAACAKAGATTACGCGAAGAACGAGAGCGAAGGGATCAAGAGCGGAAAGAGCGCATGCAGAAGGCAAAACTTGAACGTGAACGTAGAGAAAGAGAAGAGCAGGAACGTCAAGAACGCGAAAAGCAAGAAGCGGAACGTAAAAGAAAAGAGCAAGAAGAATGGGAAAAGGTCGAACAAGAGCGCGAACTAGAAAGRCAACGCAAGGASCAACAGTCTCTCGCAGAGAAAATGAGACAACAGGAGCAACACCGTGAACGCTTAGATGCCGACAAAGAAAGACTTCGGCTTATCGARCGCGAAAGGAAAWTGTTGTATCCAGATGACTCGGGCAGCAATACAACACTTGATTACATCGAATCAATGTCGGAGGATGAAGTTGAACGAGAGTTTCGTCGTCGTTTGGAAGCTGAAAACAAACGCAAAAGCGATCTTCAAGACCGTAGAGCAGGCGGCTTAGTTTCGGTCACTCGAGTTACCTATCATCCAGATCGTAACGACCAATCTGAAAGAGATCGGCGCCTACAAATGATCCTTCAGGAGCAACGAATTCTTGATAAAGATAGAAAACGAGATACTCAAAGAGAGGTTCAGATAAAGCGAGAAGACGACGAAACTCGGAGAAATATCCAATTAACGCGAGATGAGGCGGAAAGAAAACTACAAGAAGAACATCAGGAGGATCGACGGAAACAGCAACTTGACTTGCAGCGWAAAATAGAAGAGCAGAACATCTTAAGGGAGAAGGAGAACGAAGCAAGACGCCAGCTCCAAGAAGAACAGAGGCGAAGACCGGACCGTGGARGYGATTCAGACCACGTGATGGAGTTAAAAGAACGTGCTTTGAGAGATTATGAACGTCGCCGTGGGCTTATCGATTTGGAAATTGCAAAACAACAGGCTCACTTAAAATTTCAAGACGAGATTCGTCAAAAAGAAATCGAAGAAGTTCAAGCCAAGTTCGATCAACAGCGACCTGTGTCAGCGCTTAAAACTACTAATGGCACCAAACCCAAAAAACAGGTTTCGTTTTCGCAGATGTCGACCGAAATCCGTGAGCCAGCGTCGCCGACTTACGTAGTGGAATCATCGTCAGGGTACACAGCTAAGATCACTCCAGCGGCTAGTGTACGCCTTGTGGAAACACGCCCTCCAGCTATACATACACCTCCAGACTCACCACTTAGTACTCCTCCAGATTCTCCACCAGAGTCTCCACGAGATTATCCACCAATTCCACGTCCTCCTCCCCCTGAATACGACGAATATGACCCTCCGCCACTGCCTCCACCACCTTCAGAGTTACTAGAAGATGACGATGATTTTCCTCCCCCTCCCCCGCCAAGATTACCTTACAATGACAGATCATCAAGTTCGTCGAGTGATCCAAGATCTCCAGTTGATACATATCAACGMAATACTGTGGCTTCAGGGTACGGGACCTACCCSCGGGCGGCCCGACCTATGTCGTACCCAGCTCCCGCTGACCTCGATAGCATTCAGTTGAGTGATTCATTAAAGTACAGCGGCTCTAACAATAATATTATCGCAATGAACACTGGAATTCGTGAAACGCGTTCCCTGGGACGAATCCCAGTGGGTGGKGGAACCCCTCCGCCAATACCCAAAAAACCCGAGCAGTTGGGATTTAAAGATAAAATGAAACTCTTCAATCAAGACAAAACTCCAGAAAACAAAGTTACSACGTCGCGATGGCAACGAGAACAATTTGGTGTCAACGGCGAAATTACTTATACCTAACAGTAACGTCATAGATAGATTGTAATAATATAGAATTTTATATAAAGTCAAAATGCTACGTCACATGCTGATGACACGTGAAATTTCACATGCTCWATGATCACGCCTCATGAAGCACATTTGACGTCAGAACTACATAACAAACTATCATCGACGTCTATTTTGACATACTATGACGTCATACTGTTATTAGATCCGCGATGGATAAAGTGCAGTATTTTAATGTTATTTGAGGAAGCTTACAGTTCATTTTTAATATCTACATATTTTAGGAAGAACGTTATCAATGTCGAGACGACAATGTTTATWTAGGTATATATCTATGATTCTTGTCATATTGCAGTTTGGCTCAAAAAGGCTCGATGCTTATGGACCAAATATAGAGAATTCGAATGWTAGGCAAGGACATCAGGTTCGATCGAGACCGTCGAATTTCATTCCCTCGTTTGTTAAGGAAAGCAATGAACACACACTGATCACTGTCAGTACTCAATTCTGAATATTGCCGCGATGGTAAGGGAATAAAATGCGACGTCTCTGTAGAACCTTAAATTGTAGATTATATTTTTATCATTGATAATATCATCACAATCAATAATTCTTACATATCAATTTTAACTATAATGATATTCAGTATAGTGAGGTCGTGGCTCGACGCTTTGTCATGGCTGAAACATTTCTTTTAATGAGTTATTATTTTAATTGTTACATAATGACATTTTAATGCTTCGTTTTAYAGTAACTGTTGYCTTAGTGYCGTCGCTAAGTCGARGTTTTTCTATAGCGTACTTATACACACAAGTAAAAATTCCATTTTAACAGATGGCTGCAGTAGACCTTTCTGGTCCAGATCTATTTTACTCTTGTTCAGCCTTAAAGGTGTGCATGAAATACATTCATCATTAAAATGAAAGAATTTATTGTGTGAAAAAGATGGAATTTCCAGCACAGTKGAGGTATAGATTCGTGAGTAAAGGAGAACTGGACTGAAATGCCACTGAGTATGATGTTTCAATGAGAGCCGAAATTCTCTGAGAATAGGTACCCCAATAAGCGGCCTACACCACATGCCAATATGAATTCTGTTCATGAAGCTATTTACATTTAAAACTACTCATGTGGGATTCCCCGTCTAAAATGTATACAAGGAAACCTTGTTTGGAGCTAGCTGTCAGTCGGCAAAGTGGCTGACAGGTTAGTTCTTTGTAAAGGCGTGCGGTGCGTTTTGGTCCTTAATCTTCCAAGGAAACCTTGTTTGAAGCTAGCTGTCAGTCAGCAAAGTGGCTGACAGGTTAGTTCTTTGTAAAGGCGCGCGGTGCGTTTTGGTCCTTTCATATGTTGCGAGTGAACATATTTGTTTCTTTTGCTGAAGCTTTGTACTCGACCAAGATCAGAACTCAACATATTTTAACATTCCGGAACAAACTAATTYCAATCATTTTCCAACAGTTTTTAATCGGATAGTTCTGATGTCACTAAAACGTCGTATTTATCGTAGGTAGAACCAGGGGTTAGTATTGACTGTATATATACTTTTATGSATCATTTGTATCAAAATTTCATCTTATAAAAATAAATAGTTTGAATTATAAAGTCTGCTGTTATTTTTTCGAGTACTTTGTGTGCCCGTTTGAACTGAATCAGCCAGCTATAGTCCGCGTTTCGTCAGTTTTCGTATTAAAATCGTTTCGATACCCGTTTCAGGGGCCAGTACGCACATGTCAGGGACCGCGAGACAAATTCTGGATTAGGCGTGGGATAAAGACCGCCGAAGGAGGGAGTATTGAGGAGGAGGAGTCTCTCCCCCCCCCCCC